TTAAAAACACACAAACTCATCCACAGTGGAATTAAAGCATACAGCTGTGAGCTGTGTGGAAAGTCTTTTACCCAACCTCAAGGCTTAAAATCACATCAGCTCAGCCACAGTGGAATTAAAGCACACAGCTGTGAGCTGTGTGGAAAGTCTTTTAAGACGGTTGGACACTTATATAGACACCAACGCATCCACAGTGGCTTTAAACCATACAGCTGTGATCAGTGTGGCAAAACTTTTTCTTGCAGTGAAAACTTACAACTTCATCAAGTTGTCCACACTGGAATTAAGCCGTACAGCTGCGACATTTGTGGAAAAACCTTCCGCTGGCTACTCAGCCGAAATAATCACGTACGCATTCACACCAAAAATGATGTTTACTGCTGTGATCAGTGTGGCAAAGTGTTTGTGGTATACAAAGAATTAAAGCAGCACATGTTTACCCACACTGAGGAGAGACCTTATAAATGTGACCTCTGTGATAAGGCTTTTAAAGATCCACGTTCCCTGAAATCACACCAACAGATCCACACCAGAAAGAAACTCTACAAGTGCAGTTACTGTGAGGTATGTATTTATATTTTTACAGTTGCAGTTATTTTGAAGTATTATGTGAATTAAGTTTAATTTCAAAGCTAAATGAGACATGAAAACGTCATGTACAGAATATTCAATCAAGTTTGAGACAAATCAGAATCTTTCCTGATGTTGGAAAAGCTTCTCCCCTTGCTGTCTATCTAACATTCACACTTGGGAAAGCTTGGGGTTAGTATCTTGTGACATGCAGAGTAGAGCATCCATCGATTTAACCAACAATCTTCACATGAAGTCGTTTACCTACAAATGAAGAGTCATTTTCGCCCAGTACGCTGAGTGTTACAATATGTAATTGGATGTTGGCAGAGCTGATCTTTATTTCAAGCGAGATTCAGGATAAAAATGTTGAAGGAATTCCCTGACTTCCACTGTCTTTGTGTCTTTGTTTAGAAGCAGAGCGACACAGATGGATCCACTTCTCAACCCTGCCGTCACTGTGGTGATGGGAAAGCGTTTCACTGTGACTTTTGTGGAAAAACTTTCAGTCAGCAGTGGTGCCTAACATTACATCAACGTAGACACACTGGAAACAAAATGAACTACTGCGAAGAATGTGGTAGAGGCTTCCCCACACCAAGTACATTAAAAATACATGAGCTTATTCACAGTGGGGTTAAAAAGCACGTCTGTGATCAGTGCGGGTCATCCTTCACCACTGCAGGTCACCTCAAACAGCATAAACGCGTGCACACAGGAGAGAAACCATACAAGTGCAGACACTGTGACAGAAGCTTCTCACAATCAAGTAATCGTAACCTTCATGAACGTAGACACATGGAAGAGAACATCAGCTGTGACCAGTGTGACAAGACCTTCAAGAGTCTCAGTTCATACTCCGAACACAAACAATCCCACACTGTCCCCACAGTTTTACAGTTACCAATGTGCCAAAACATTCACTTCATTATTTGCTCTGTGCAAACATCAACATCAAGCGGACCTGAAGTCACTGGATCACAATGAATCTGAAGAGACAGAAAGATCCTCTTCTGGTTTCAGGATCAGACTTTAAAAACCTT